TGCTTCAGAAAGTTTTGTAGCATCTGTTGGCTGTCTCAGGAGCTACATGATGCGGGATTTCTCTGTGTAGCTCCTGGTCCCTCTGCCTCTCCTCCCGTATGTGAACCTTCGATGAAAAGATCAGAGAACACGTCCTCCCTTGTTTGTTTCTTCTCCCTCTTCTTCATTGCACCAAGGGGAAGTCTGGGTGTTACCAACAGGAATCAAAGCATTGTGTGGACTTGTGAAGATGTGCTGAAATTAGGCAGATTTTACCAGGAAAATTCTGTAGCGTAGACCAGGCCCAGTTCAGTGGGGAGAAGCGAACTGGATTTTGAAACCATTTCTAGTTACCTGGCGTAACTGATGCTGGTGAGGACGGTTGTATCCTGAATGCCACTTCTGATTTAATCATGTCCCTTTAGGTAGGGAGCTGGACGCTTTCAACTTGCTGTGTATTGTGTAGTTCCTCCAAAAAGCTGAAAGTGCGTGTACAATGGGGGAAACTGAGTCACGGAGGGGCAGTGACTTGTGTAAGGTCACCCAGTCAGAGAGAGCCTGGAGAGAAGTCCTGTGCTTTTCAAAGTTTGGCTTTGAACCGCTTGCGTCTATGGATGCTGGGGCAGCGTACCTGGAGGTGACTGCACACATCTCCCTGATCGTGTGCCCGCCAGCAGGGGAGGTGGTATGGAGCCAGCTCTAGAGGGAGCCAAGTGCCCAGCCTGGATTCCCTTCTGTGGGCCCCGCTTGTGGATCCTCTTGGGCTGAGCCAGGCCTGTAATGTCTGGCTCCCCCCAGGCCCGACTGTTCTCTGCTCTTCAGCATCCTCCCCGCTCTGTCTCCCTCTTTCCCCAGTGGATGGAGTGGCACCCTCAGGCCCACGTCCTGCTGGCGGGCACAGCTGATGGGAACTCCTGGATGTGGAAGATCCCCAGCGGCGAGTGCAAGACCTTCCAGGGGCCGAGCTGCCCGGCCACTTGCGGCAGGGTCCTTCCTGACGGTGAGAGGAGAGGGTGGGAAGGGATTTGGGGAAGCTGGGCATGGAAACTAGGCCGTGGTGCAGCCCTGCCAGTCGTTATGGCATAGCCACTGACTCTCTGTGGGCACTCCCCCAACTAATCCGATTGGGAGCCATGTGTCTTCTCCGTCGGTCCCTCAGCCAGGAGGCGCCCTGTCAGGGCAGGAGTCACCGAGCCCTGCAAGGATTTTTCCCCCAGGCCCCTGTCCCTTGGCATGCAGGGGGCAGCCTGGGAGGGGGAAGGATAGGGTGGGGACAGGGTGGGGGGAGAGGGTCTAACAAGCGGCTGTTGTCCATCTCTCCGTCCAGGGAAGAGAGCGGTGGTTGGCTATGAGGATGGGACTGTGCGGATCTGGGACCTGAAGCAGGGAAGTTCCCTCCACGTTCTTAAAGGTATGGAAGGGTTCATTCCCCCTGTCCGTTGGTAGCTAGGAAGGGCAGGGTGCTGGCGTTGCACTGGATTTCCTCTGTTTTACAAGGGTCTGCACCAAAGGAACACGGGGCGGGGTAGGGGGGTGGCCGGGTCCACCAGCCCCTTTCCGTGGACTCTCGTTATGCCCGTCAGAGGGGCGTGGGGCTCTCTCCTCAGAGACTGGGGGAGTCCGTCCATACAGGGAGAGCGGTTCCGATGCACCAGAGTCTAGTCTGTGGCTGGTCTCTGCAGAACCTGGCGCGTTGGCAGACCTGCATGCTGGCAGGAGGGGGCACCGCTCCTTGCAGCAGGGCGCGGGGAGGCCGTTGGTCAGGATTGAGGGGCATCAGCAGAACTGGCATGAACTGGTGGGGCAGCTGCTCTGGGTTGGGCTCTGAGGTCTCCCAGGCAGGATTGGAACACGGTCAAAGCGTCTGACCTCCCGTTGGCTGTGAACTTTCCTCAGGTCAGGACGGGCATCAGGGCCCCTTGACGTGCGTGACCAGCAATAAAGATGGCAGCCTGGTCATGACTGGGTCCGTGGATTGTCACGCCAAGCTGGTGAACTCAGCCACCGGCAAGGTGAGGCCCTCGCACTGCCCTGGGGCTGGGTGGCGGCACCCAGGGCCCTGAGCGGGCAAGCCTGGGAGGTTTGCTGCTCGAAGGCCGAAGCTAGGGAAGGGGCTGGGTTAACAACCTCCTTTGACTTCCCTGCCCCAATCGAGTCTCCTCTCCTGGCGGCCCTGCAGCTCTGGGAGAGTGAGCTGCTCTGGCCCAGCCTGGCCTCGCTCAGGCTTGTTGCTCATTGATCTCTGCGGCCGCCTGCTCCGGGGAGGACCTGCAGTGGTGTTGATCTGCCAGCAGAGAGGGCTCTAGGCCAAGGCACCGCACTGCCCTCGCTGTCCAGAGTTGGGTTACTGGAGTTCAGGGATGCCAGTGGCTGGAGGTGGCAGGGTGGGATCACTTGCCCTCCTGGCCCAGTCGGGTTCTTGTCTCTGGGTGCCGATGGGTACCCCCCTTGGTTATTGGGGAAGGGGAGTGGCCTGGTCTGTATTTGCAGGGCCCCCACTCTGGGGCAGGGGTGGTGTCTGCAGAGTAATGGGCTTGGCCCAGGCTGTAGCAGGCTCAGCAATCTCCAGGTGTGGGGAGAGACGGGACGCTGGATTGGCTCCCAGCCCCCCTCCCCACTGGCTCTGATGGGGGAGTGTCTCCTCTCTGCCCAGGTGGTCTGTGTGTTTAAGATGGAAAGTGCAGCCTCAAAGCCCCCGGCGGGGGAGGCCGAATCCAACTCGGTCGAGTCCCTGGGCTTCTGCAATGTGTGAGTACGGGCCGGGTGGGTGAAAGGCTGACCCTCCCGGCTCATCCTTCCGGGGCTGGGCCTGGACGCTGGGAAAGGGCCATGGGCAGAGGCGACCCCAGCAGCTGCATCGAGGGAGGGAGGGTGGGTGCGTGGGGGGGGTTGCTGATTTGGCATGGGGTTGGTCCTGGTGCTGCCATGTTGCTTGGCATTCACGTCCTGGGGAGGCCAGGGTGCCGTTCTCCTCCCCTCTCTTTAGAGGACCCTTCCTGGGTTCCCCCTCCCCCACCCCATCATCCCTATTGGTAACAAATCCAAAGAGTCCCATTTATCTGTTTTGCCGGGGACTGACTGAACAAGCCTCGTTCCTCCACCCAGGCTGCTCGGCCAGCAAGGCAGGGGGGGCGTTTCCTTCGAAATCCACCCCCCCTTTGCTCCTAAGAGGGGGTCTGGCAGGTAAACCAGTCCGTCCATCCCTCCCTCCTTTTACTTCCTTCTGTCTCCCGCTGGCGAAGAGGTGCTGCTCTGGGAGGTCGGCAGGCCACCATGCCCCGCCTCTCACGCTCCCCCTCTTTCCCCGGGGCAGGATGCCGCTGGCAGCCGTGGGCTACCTGGACGGGACCTTGGCCATTTACGACATCTCCACGCAAAGCCTGAGGCAGAGGTGTCAGCACGAGGTAAGGGACCGGGCACTAGTTGGCGCTCTGGGGGTGATGCCCTGAGCTGTGGCCCCTGGAGACCTCGGGCTGCCCCAGAGGGCTCTGGGATCACTCAGATCTGCTGGGGGGGCATGCTCTCCTCCCAGTTAGCAGGCCTGGGGCTGCCCCCGTGGCCCAGGGCAGGGGCTGGCAGCTCCTAGCATGGCTCCTGGCTGATCCCCTATAAATCCTCATTCTCTCACGGCTGTCACTAACCTCTAGACACTGTTGCCGTCTCTGTCCAGGGACCATCACTGAGCCCCCTTGGCTTGGGCCTAGCCTTGGGTTGGGTCCCAGCCCCCAGCCAGAAAAGCAGGGTTTGTGGGCTCTGACCAGTGATCCTAACGTCCCTGTAGCGTGTCAAGACAGCAGCCCTTGCCCGCCCCTTAGGCAGTGCCAGGCACCACATCCCTTGTGGGGTGGAGCTCCCACGTCTGCCGCCAGACTGGGCGAGCCAGCCCCTGTGCCCTTGTCCGGTGGGGTTGGAGTGCGGCCTGCCGGTGCCCTCGCTGACTTCCGTGCCCGCAGTCGGGGATCGTGCAGCTGCTGTGGGAGGACGGCGCGGCTGTGGTCTACACCTGCAGCCTGGATGGTGCCGTGCGCTTGTGGGATGCTCGCTCCGGGAAGTTGATCAGCGAGTATCGGGGCCATTCGGCGGAAATCCTGGACTTCGCCGTCAACAAGTGAGTGGCTGTGGCGGGCTCTGCCTGTGGTACGTCTGCCTTCGTGCTGCAGCGGGCACGGCCCCCACTCAGTCTGCCCGTTCGGCTGGCTGTGGACACGGGGCTGGCGTGTGCTGGGGGAGGGCGGGGATTGGCTCCTACATATGTTAAAGCCTGCGAGCTTTGCGCTCAGAAATCGTGAGCTGTCCTGCCCCAGCCGGCTCGAGAATGGTGGCGCCGGACGTGATCAGACTCGGGGTCTGTGTTGCATTAAGAAGGGTGCTTTGTTAGGCCGGGCTGAGAGCAGGTCTCTGCCTCTTGAGGGGCACTGGCGGAGCCGAGGGAAGCAAAGGCTAGACTGGACTAGCCTGTCTCTCTGTCCCCTTCTCTTTCCAGACCCAAGGAGTGTGGGCGGCGGCTGGGGGCTCTGCCCTTTGTCCCCCGAGCCTCTCTAATCCGATCTCCCGTCTCTTTCCCAGGGACGCGTCCATAGTGGTGACAACGTCCGGGGATCACCAAGCCAAAGTGTTCTGCGTGCAGCGCCCGGATCGTTAGCGTCGGCGCCTGGAAGGGAGCGGAGCACTGTGGGAGCCGAGAGCAGTGCATTGTGGGATGGGGGGGGGACTAAACCCACCAGCAAAGTGAGGCAGAGCAATCCACGGCTGGAACTCGAGGGGGGTGGGAGGTTGGCTTGTACTGCACGGGGACCCCTGATCCTTTTCGCATAAAGTGATTCATAGCTATCGCTTGGCCATCTCCCCCCTTGTTTAGTTTTAGGGCTAATCCCAGGGTTTTCTATGAAATGTTTTAATTATATAAATTATTTCACGTACTGGATCCCGTCTGTTCCGACGTCTCCCACGTCGGCCAGGGCATCAGAGCAGCTCCCGCCTGTTGCACCAGATCCCTCTTTGGGATCTAGCCCCGGGGAGGGGGAACGGGGGGGGCGTTGGGTGCTGATACTGGCAGATCCTAGGGGGTTGCAGGGAGCGGGCAGCTGGGGTGAAATGAGAAACCGATCTGCCCGCCTCCTCCTTGCATGAGGATGCTCCTGGGAAGTGCTGATGAGATGCGGGAGTGAAGGGTTATGGGGGTGCCCCATGGGGAACTGATTCCCCTAAATTGTCTTCACTGTGGGACTGTTCTGCCTTCTCTCCCCTCCAAAGGCTCTGTGTCCCAGCAGTTCTCTCTGGGGCCCCATAGGGCTGCCTCTCTTGTGTGCCAACAGCTGTCTCCCTGCCGTGCCGGTTGGTTCCTGACCGCTGCCATGCTGGACCCGGTTTGGGCCCGTCAGATGGTAGCATGTGTCAGGGCAGGCAGCCAGCTTCTCTGGGCAGGCTGTAATGCCAGGCTCTGCTCACCTGGGTGCAGATGAGGCTGCCCTGGGATCTCGGCCATGCTGCTGGCCATGCGCTGAAAGGCAGCCAATTGGGGATCTCCCTGCCTCATGGAGGAAGGGGGTTCCAGAGTCTCAGGTGCCCCCTCCGAGCGATCCCAGCCCCAGCGTTCAAATCTCAGGCCTGCTGCAGGGGAGCATCAGAATAAAGCCCCTAAGGTAGCAAAGAGAAACCTTTGTGGGCCTCCGGAGAGCTGCGCCAGCCCCCAAAGGGCTCCCCGAAACCCTCCTGCTGTATCTGGGTTCAAGGTGCGTCTCTGGGGTCCCGTGACCGCCTACCCTGCCCGCTGCACAGTTGCTAACGTATTTATCCCCCTTCCCCTGTGAGACAGGGCAGGGCTGTCCCCACTGTACAGAGGGGAACTGAGGCATGGCGATCAAGTCACATGGCCAGTGTCACCTGAGCAGAGGGGAATTGAATCCAGCTGTCTGGAGTTCCAGGCAGGCTCCTTGGCCGCTGGTCCGTTCTTCCTACTGTGTGGCCAGAGGGATGGCAGGGCCAGGTCCAAGGGGGCACACATGGAGCTGGCTGAGGGTCACACCCAGCATGGCGGGCGGCGGGAGGGAGTTGTCTTTTGGCCACTGCTTCTCTCGGGGGCAGCAGGGACTCACGGACCCAAACCAAACACGGGGAGGGAGGATCCCTTGTCCCAGCCAGGGCTGGGGGTTGTGCCTGGAGGGTGGCCGATCTGCTGGGGAGAGGGGGAGATGATGGAGAAGGGGCCGCACGGCCCAGCCATTGTGGTGGCTTTTCCTCCCCACCCTGGAAGGGACATGATTTCCCCCCCCCCCATTGTCCCAGAAGGAGGGCACGCATCGCCAATGTCCCTGCTAGCCTGCTCCATGCAGGAGTTAGAGAGGGCAGATGGTGCCTGTTCCCCTGGAGGCTGTATGGGGAGGGGTGGATAGTAGGCTCCTTGCGACCATGGCCCAGCCCGAGAAGCTGGTTCTGGGGAATTGAGAGGGTCTTGGTATCAGGGCTTTACGCTCATGAGGGCTCTGTTCCCCCTCGCTTCCTGCAGCCCCTGGGCCCGTGATCTGGCCAGGCTCTTTGCAGTTTCCTTCTGTCCTATGTCTGCCGCCTCCCCTTCAGAGTCCTGCCAGTTGGGGCGGCCGAGACACCTAGATCCCTGGGTTCTGTTCCCAGCTCTGCCAATGACTTCTGGAGTGACTGGCTCAGTTTCCCCATATATAAAAGGGGGATAATACACAGGGCGGTGGGGCTTAACTAACTGCTGTCTAAAGCGCTTTGGGATCTCCTGAAGAGAGATGTTATCAAAACACAAGCTGATGCTGCCTTGTTGCCCCTGGCCCGTTGCATTTTCTTAATTTATCCTACATGCTTTTAACCTACCCTCTCTCCTTTATGCAGCTCCGGTCTCTGGAGGGGGGCCACGGTGCCAGGGGGTGGGGTGGACGAAGCCTGGTTCTGTTAATGCGCTTGTGCACATTTCCGTTGTACGCTGAGGCAAACTTATCTCAGCCCAGGCAGGAAGGAAGGAGTGTGGTGGGGAAGGGCAGGCTGTGCTCCAGGGCAGCTTGCAATCTCTGGATCCCCTGGCACAGCCGTGGACACCTGCAGAATGCAGCGGGATGCCCTCCTGGCTGGTCTCGCCCCGTTAAGACACCAGACTCCCCAAGGAAAGAGTCCTGGGGAAAGCCAGAGCTCAGCAGAGAACTTGGCAATGCTTCCCTGTGTGTGCATTTACTAGTGGAATCGTGCCCCCCCCTTTTTTTCCCAGGCCTGCTGCCAGGGATTTGGAGATTTGGAGGGGGGGGGGCTGCTCAGCCTGGGAGAAGGAGAAGAACCAGCCCAGCTAAAGATGGGAAAGACCTATTGGCTCCCCTGGCCCTTCCCCAGTAGGGGAGTGGCTGAAGACTGTCTGTTCCCATCACACTCCAGTGCCTTCTCTGCACTCATGCTGTGGCCAGCGGGGCTGCCCTTTCCACAGTGCGTGGGCTGCAGGAGGGAAAGGGCACAACCTGCCAAATGCCAGAGGAGGTGATTGCATTGGCAGCAGAGCAGTTACTCTCCTTGCGAGTCCGGGATCCCGCGTTGGTCTGCAGCGAGCACGGCCAGGTGTGAGTTTGCTTGTTTTTCTTCTAGCTAGAGTGATATGGGAGGAATGGAGCTGCTTTGGCCCACAAGGAAAGACCCTTGCTCTGGGTCTTTATTCAGGGCAGCTGTTGCGTGGGGTTGGCTGTTTATGGCAAGAGGAGATGACTTGTAGCTGAGATCAGGGCCCCGTTGTGCCCGGCGCTGCCGAGACGCAACAAGAGACAGCTCTGTAATTCACTAGATAATGCATTTTCAGTTTCAAGTCTCAGTGGTGAAGGTTTCTCTTTAGACGGATCCATGTTTGTATTTCTTGGGTGCGAGACTGGGACTTGGAAGCCCGAGGTCAGTTTCCTGCTCCGCTACAGCCTTCCTGGGTGGCCTTGGGCCAGTCTCTTAGTGTTTCTACACCTCAGCTGCAGAATGGGGAAAATGGCACTTCTGTTTCCTATGGCTGTTGGGAGGGTAAGTTCATTAAAGCAGTGGTCCTAAACCAGGGGTATGTGGACCCATGGGGGTACGCGGAGGGCTTCCGGGGGTACGTCCACTTACCAGGTAGTTGCCTAGTTTTACAACAGGCTACATAAAAAGCACTAGCGAAGTCGGGACAAACTAAAATGTCATACAGACAATGACTTGTTTACACTGCTCTATACACCGGACTCTGACATGTCAGTACAATGTTTATATTCCAATGGATTTATTTTATAATTATATGGTAAAAATGAGCAAGTCGGTAGTCTTTCAGTCATGGTGTGCCATGACACTTCTGTATTTTTATGTCTGATTTTGTAAGCAAGTAGTTTTTAAGTGAGGTGAAACTTAGGGGACGCAAGACAAATCAGCCTCCTGAAAGGGGACCAGTTGTCCGGAAAGGTTGAGAGTCACCGCAGGAAAGAGTGCGAGGGGGTCAGATACCACAGGAGTGGGGCCAGGAAACGACCTGTTTAGCGGAATGAACTAGATTTAAAACCGATAACGTTAAAACTTTTACTCCTCTGGAGAGCATCAGTTTCAGTCTGTTTAAAATGGTTTCAGCTAACCCCAGGGCTGCTGATTTGAGCAGTGAGGTGAAAACCCCACTCTCCTAAGCAGCTGTGCTTAACAAAGATTGGCTGGCACTTTTCAGAAGAGTTCTCCCACTGCTCTGGCCACATTCCCACCAGGAAGGAATTCACTTGCTGCTTCTCCCTCTTTTCCTGTTGAATTTAGATACTGAATGCTTTATCGCTTCCTGCCCAAACTGGCTTACAGCGTTGCTGGGTGCTGTGAAATAGCTGCTGCATTCCACCCCAGAGGTGCCTGGATCTCGGGGCTAGGTGAAGCAACCACCATACCAATAAAGGCTGTGAAGGATGTTGGATGACTGGTGGTATATAAGAATGGCCCTACTTGCTCTGACCAAAAGTCCGTCTAGCCCAGGATCCTGGCTTCCAACAGTGGCCAGGGCCAGGTGCCCCAGAGGGAGTGAACAGAACAGGGAATCATCCAGTGATCCATCCTCTGTCGCCCATTCCCAGCTTCGGGCAAACAGAGGCTAGGGACAGTAGGAGGGTGGTGAAGCACTGGAATGGTTTCAGAGGAACAGCCGTGTTAGTCTGTATTCGCAAAAAGAAAAGGAGTACTTGTGGCACCTTAGAGACTAACCAATTTATTTGAGCATGAGCTTTCGTGAGCCACAGCTCACTTCATCAGATAGGTGGTGGAATCTCCTCCCTTAGAGGTTTTTAAGGTCAGGCTTGACAAAGCCCTGGCTGGGATGATTTAGTTGGGGATTGGTCCTGCTTTGAGCAGGGGTTGGACTAGATACCTCCTGAGGTCCCTTCCAACCCTGGGAGTCTATGATTCTGTTACACCATCCCTGCCCATCCTGGCTAATAGCCATAGTTGGATCTATCCTCCATGAATTTATCTAGTTCTTTTTTGAACCCTGTTATGGTCTTGGCCTTCACAACATCCTCTGGCAAGGAGTCAAGAGTGTGCCCTTGTTGCCAAGAAGGCCAATGGCATTTGGAGGTATATAAGTAGGGGCATTGCCAGCAGATCGAGGGACGTGATCGTTCCCCTCTATTCGACATTGGTGAGGCCTCATCTGGAGTACTGTGTCCAGTTTTGGGCCCCACACTACAAGAAGGATGTGGAAAAATTGGAAAACATCCAGTGGAGGGCAACAAAAATGATTGGGGGGCTGGAGCACATGACTTATGAGGAGAGGCTGAGGGAACTGGGGATGTTTAGTCTGCAGAAGAGAAGAATGAGGGGGGATTTGATAGCTGCTTTCAACTACCTGAAAGGGGGTTCCAAAGAGGATGGCTCTAGACTGTTCTCAGTGGTGGCAGATGACAGAACGAGGAGTAATGGTCTCAAGTTGCAGTGGGGGAGGTTTAGGTTGGATATTAGGAAAAACTTTTTCACTAGGAGGGAGGTGAAACACTGGAATGGGTTCCCTAGGGAAGTGGTGGAATCTCCTTCCTTAGAAGTTTTCAAGGTCAGGCTTGACAAAGCCCTGGCTGGGATGATTTAGTTGGGGTTGGTCCTGCTTTGAGCAGGGGGTTGGACTAGATACCTCCTGAGGTCCCTTCCAACCCTGATATTTTCTGATTCCACAGACTGACTGTGCGTTGTGTGGAGAAATACTTCCTTTTATTTGTTTTAAACCTGCTGCCTATTTGGTGACCTCTAGTTCTTGTGTTAAGGAAGTGTTGTTAACTACTTCTCAAATCTACTTTCTCTGCACCAGTCCTACTTTTATAGACCTCAATCATATCCCCCCTTAGTCGTCTCTTTTCCAAGCTGAAAAGTCCCAGTCTTATTAATCTCTCCTCATATGGAAGCCGTTCCATACCCCTAATAATTTTTGTTGCCCTTTTCTGAACCTTTTCCAATTCCAATATATATATATTTTGAGATGGGGCGACCACATTTGTACACAGTACTCAAGATGTGGGCGTACCATGGATTTATATAGAGGCAACATGATATTTTCTGTCCCTTTCTTAATGATTTCCAGCATTCTGTTCCCTTTTTTGACTGTCGCTGCACATTGACTGGATGTTTTCTGAGACAATAAAACGTGTGTTTTATTATACTCTGGGCCTTACCTCCACTTCCCACCATGAGGTTCTTCTGTACAACCAAAATTATTGTCCCTCAAGGTCCCATTTGGAGGGTTCGTCGGTGTAAAAAGAACTGTAAGATGATTGGTAGATTGGTGATTGGTAGAAAGGGGCCCTAGAACAGGGGCTTTCAACCTTAAAATTTTTGGAATGGAGATGCCAGACCCCTTTGGAAATCTTAGACATAGTCTGCAGCCCCCCCAAGGTGTCCCTGGACCACAGCTTGAAAACCACTGCCCTAGAAGAAGCAGCTCCCAGAACATCCGAAATATTTCTTTTGGGGAGAGAGGAGATGGTTCCCTGTCACTGCCTCTGAGCCAAGATTCTGCCATCTGGAAGGTCCTACTCCTGCTCTCAGGTTTCTGTGGGTCAAGCTCATAGGGGCTAGGAAGGGGATATAAAAACATTTCACCTCTACAGCACAGGTTGGAAGCAGGCCCTGAGTTAGGAGTTGCATGCTACAAGAAGAGAGACACTCTGACCCTTTCATCATCGCTGGTTTAAATTGGAACCCCGGGGTGCTAACAGAACTGGTTACTCCCTGCTGCCTGGATCATATGAAACGAGTTAGCAGGTCTCAGCCCAGTTTGTAGTAACCAATTTGTCCATGTACTAAAACCTATCAGTGCCTTGTCACACGCCGCCCTTACCTCCTGCACATTTGATTTTCAAGCACTTTCCACCCAAGTGGGCCACTGGCATTAACTCCATTTTGCAGATGGGGAAACTGAGGCACAATGACTTGGGCAGGGTCACTGGCAGAACTTGGAATAAAACTCAGCTCTCCCATCCAGAGCCAAGCAGGGATGCAAGATCTCCTGAGTTCCGGTTCCATGCTTTAGCCTGGCTGAGCAGAAGCCATTGCCCTGCTGGCCACGCATTTCCCCTGAGATGAATCCTCTTCAAAACAGAAAACAACATTTTAATGAAATAAAAGCTGATCAGCTTGTTCCGCTGTGTCCTGCTCTGAGCTGGGGCGGTCTGGCTTGATCAAAGGCTCCTGCCGGTCATTATCTAGCTGTAATGATGTAATTGGCTCCCCGCGTGGGCAATCTGCTGACTCCCTAACAAGCCTGCTCCTTCCCAGGGGCTCTTTATGGGTCCATTAAAGGCGCATCCCCGTGGCTGTTATTGCTCCGGCAACTGCCTGCCGCTCTTGCCCCGAAGGCAAAGCATGTTTCCCCGGCGGAAAGCGTTTTATGATTCTCTGGCTCTTTGTAAATGAGCCGGGTGGCAGCTGCCGGTGGGTTAACTCAATGGGCTGTGAATGGAACTCGGGCCTTGACGCCTCCGTTGCTGGGTGCTCGAAGTGTCCTCCGTCTGGGGCTTCCCATCAGTTTAACTGCTCTGGTCCCCAGACAGTCCCCCTACCTTTCCCAGCAGGGCGGGTGCGGGAAGGGGCATTGCCTTGGGCAGGGATTGGTCCCCATTCTGGCAGTCTCAGCAAGGAGTCCCTGCGCTCCGGTGGATCTCCTGGGGGAAGCAAAGTGGGAACTATAATGACGAAACAATACAGAAGTGAGGATTTCACAACTACGTCTGTAAAGACATAAGGGTTTCCCAGCTGTGTCTATTGATAAGTGAGTTCTTACTGAACAGAAAACTATCAAACTAAACTTCCTTTTACATCCTCTAGGCTCTTCCTGTTCTCTGGAGGTGATAGATCAGATCACCTTTCGAACAGCCCCAGGTTGCCTTATTTCAATGTGACTAGTTTGGAATGGGAGGAGGTGACCGGTCGCTTCCCAGCTAATGGCTGCCCCCGCTGCTTAGCCAAAGATCTCAGCCTAAGAACAGGGCCTCAGCCTGTCACAGGGAGAAAAGGCCTTATACAGTCAGACAGTGATTTTGAGTCTCTCTTTTGTACTTCTAGAACTAGCTAAGTGATAAGAATACATCTAAATTCTTAGAGTATAGGCCTTTACAGACAGGCCTGAATATCTATATCCTAACACTGTTAACCTCTGCCCTGCTGCACATCATGACCCTGCAGATAGCACCTTTTGCCCCCACATCGGAAAGCCTCTTGCCCAGATTATTACAGGTGGGGAAACTGAGGCATGGCAAGCCAGTCCCTAGTCCAAGGTGACCTACCAATTGTCTCCTCCTCACCCCAGACATTCTGTGCAAGTGAGGGTAGCGACCTGGAACATCAACACACTCAGATTCTCATCGCTTCTACCAACCTGAAGCGTAACTACAGCGAGGCCCAAGGAGCAATCGATCTGAAGAGGACTGAATTGCAATAAAGCACTAGCCAGAGATGTGGGAAGTAGGGGTGCAGGGGGTGCTTCAGCACCCCCAGGGGTCCCACTCCCCAGCTGCTAGCTCTGTGCATAAAACTTGGGGGTGATTCCTGTGCCTATGCCCTGCTCCCGGCCCTCCACCCGCACTCTGCTCCCCAACCCCTCACCTCACCTGGGGCTCCGGTCCCAGCTGCTGGCCCAGGGCCCCGCGCCTGCCCCAACTCCGCTCCCGGGCCTCTGCTCCTGGGGCCCTGGCTGCTGGCCCTGTGCCCAGGGCCCCATGCCCGGCCCCCTGCTCAGTGGGGGCCCTGTTCCCAGGGCTCCACGCCTGGGGCTCCGCACCTGGCCCCATGGACGGGGCTCTGCTCTTGGCCCCGCACGTGGGGTCCCGGTTGCCGGCCCCCGCCCGGGACTCCGCTCCTGGCCCCACATCCACCCCCAGCTGTGGTCTCTGCTCCCTTACCCCTTTCTGGGTGCCCCCCTCCTGGAGACACAGCCCTGCGCCCCACCTCTGGGCGGGGGGAGGTAACGGGGCTGGCTTTCAGTACCCCCACTACTAAAAATGTCCCAGAGCCACTGGCACTAGCAGACAACGCATACGGAAGGGGAGGCGTTAGATCGTAGCACTGTGTTTTGAGACGATCGTTCACGAGAACAGGAGCTCTGGTGGCTTTATTAGCCAGCCAATCTTTGAGTAAAGTACCTAATCCCAAGCCATTTTTAACGTGTTGCTTTTCATAACACAGCAGAGAGAGACTTTCACAATCTAACCATGCTGGTCGGTTAGGTAGAGATCTGCTGCCAAGAGTGAACTCCCTGCGGTGCAGACACATGATTTCAACAGAGATTTAGAACGAAGAGTCCTTCCTCCTGCCTGTTTGACTTTGTGGTTCTGAAGAGTTGGACGTTCGCAACGATCAATTTATTTATTGACCAATAGCTGAATATGGGCAGGAATTAAATCAAATCTCTCTTGGGCCGCAGTCATGGAACTGTGACTGAATCTCTTGCGATGATATTATGGATTATTCGTTTTTGTTTGCTGTGTCGGAATTGCCCGGCTCTGTGGACAGGTGATTTTTGTAGACGTTGCTCTTTAAATAAATAAAAAAACCCAAGAATTACATCTCTAGCTATTTAGAGCTATCGACAGCTCGTTATTCGTTTTCTCACATACGCAGCCTTTTTGCTCGGCAATTAATTTAAATCGGGGGGGGGGGTTAAAGGCCTTTTTTGTATATGTTGTTGCTTTGTCTTCTCTTTGAAGGGGGCACCCTGTGCAGTAGCTTAGACTCTTGCTCAAAGTGTCAAGGGATCTTTCACAGCCATGAGCGAGCATATCAGTCACTTGGTTTTAGGCCTGAGTTTAAAAAAAAACTTGGCACAACGCCTCCGGCTGGGTGGGCCACCCAACTCCCTCCAGCGCAGCGCCCCCCCGGCTGGGTCGGCCACCCCGCTCCCTCCAGCGCAGGCGCCCCCCCCCGCTGGGTGGGCCACCCCGCTCCCTCCAGTGCAGCCCCCTAGCCCTATCCTGTGATGTGGGGCTCAGCACTGACTCTGAAGAGCGAATGCCCCCGCTGAGCACCCTCCAGACTCCCCCCCACCCAGCATCCTGGGTTGTCCTTGGGGGCTCTGGCCAAATTTTGATCGGGCCTGACCTTTGTAAGTTCCTTGGAGGCAGCGAGGTGATGGTCTCCTGTTTGTGTATCCGGGGGGGCGGTCTCCAAAGGACAGGGAGGCTGGGGAGATCTTACGCCATCTGGGTCCGATGTCATCATCGCTGCAGGCTCGTGCTGCTTAGACAGGAAATGGTCTTGCTTATTCATGAGCCGGTTAGATTCTCGAGCAGTCTAGGGCGTGTCACTGTCCCAGCGGTCTAGGCAGAGAATAACGCTGCAATATGGTCTCTTTCCCGGCAGGAGGCTGTGGCCTGTCCCGGGGGAGAGAGGAGGATGAGCCCCGCGCCCCCGTCTGCAGCGTCGCCCTGCTCGTGTCACGCTGCACTGGCTGACCCCGTTCCGACCTGCCGCCAGCGCTGAGCGAGAGGATGGAGAACTCCTCTGGGCACGCCGGGGCGCAGGGGAGCTCCCCGATGCGCTTCATCTTCTGGCTCTCGGGCCCACTCTCGCTCTTCATCATCCTGGCCAACCTCTTCATCATCCTCGGGATCCTCTGCAACCGGAAGCTGCACGGCCCCGCCAGCTGGTTCTTTCTCAGCCTGCTGTCGGCTGATCTCCTGGCCGGGGCGGCCCTGCCCTTCATCCCTCGGATGCAGTTCGAGGATAGCCGGGGATACCACATCTGCTTCTTCGTCCACGTGGCCCCCAACTTCCTCTTCCTCGCCTTGCTGGCCAACCTGCTGGTGGTGCACTACGAGAAGTACTTATGCATCAGCTACCCGCTGCACTTCCATTGCTTTTGGGTGCACCGCTGGGTGCCCCTCTGCCTGCTGCTGACCTGGGTGCTGCCTCTGCTCTTTGCCTGCCTGCCAGTGCTGGGGTGGAACCACTGGGGACCCAGCTCCAACTGCTCCTACCACCAGGTCTTCCCCACTGCCTACCTCTACCTGGAGATCTACGGCTTCCTCATCCCCTCCATCCTGGCCATGGCCTTCATGTCCATCCGGGTGCTGCGGGTGGCCAGGCACCAGCTGCAGGAGATCAAGAAGGTGCTGCGCTCCGTGAACCAAGGCCAGGGCCCCTCGGAGCTGGAGCAGCAGCTGGAGCTGAGGCATGCCAAGTGCATCGCCAGCCTCTCCCTGATCTTCCTGGTGTGCTGGGTGCCCTACGTGGCCGGCCTGCACGTCTCGGTGCTGGCCATCCAGAACCGCAGCTTCATCGACAAGTACACCCTCCTCATCCTCACCTGCGTGGGGAGCAGCAGCGCCGCCGTGGTACCCATCACTCTGGGCTTCTGCAACCGCCAGTACACCCAGTTCTGGAGGGAGGTGGTGGCCAAGGGCTGCGCTGGCTGCAGGGCGCGGTGCTGCGAGCGAGGGGAGGCCGGGCGCCAGCAGGGTGGGACGTCACAGAGCGGGGCCTCTTGCCTTCAGGCAGAAGGCATGGCTCCAGCTCCCAGCTGATGCCCTGGCCCCTGCGATGGAGACACCAAACCTGCGACCGTGGCCTCTTGCCACAACAAGGCAAGTCTGGGACTTGCTGGGGATGCAGCAGCTAAGGGGTCAGCGTGGACCTTTCAGAGGGATCCAATGATTTACTGGGCCGTTATATTTTAATGACCGAGGCAGGCAGGTAACCTCATCCTCCCCCGCCCACACACGGATGCTGGGCTGGTCATTGCTGTTTTCTGCACTTTGGTTGGCCTAAAGAATAAGCTTGGATCTCATGCCCCGGCCAGTCAGATTTTGGTACGTTAGTTTTTCAAAGCAGGCCGTCGATTCCGAGAATGATCTCGGCTTCTGAGTGGCTGGTTCCTCGCTAAACGATCCTCCCTCCTGCAACCTCACTGGCTGGGGTGGCTTCCATCTGGTGTGCTTCCATCCCACGACGATACTCATCAATTATATTTGTTCCCTGGGGGTAAGACCTGAGTTTCTGGGCTGATGGGGGACCCGATCCTGCCAGGGTCTAGCAGGTGCCCTGACCTCTCCGGATCGGACCCACCTGAATTCTCAGCTCCTTTGTTGACGTTAACCCCGCAGTGAATATGTGAGTCGCTGCACCCCGTCGGGACAGGCTACAGGGCGAGGTTTGTATTAACGCTCGGAGTCAGGCCAGTGGGGCTAGGAATTCCTGGGGCCCCAGTACCCTCCCTGGCACAACTCCCTGCCCCCCAAGTGCAATTAGACGATAGCACCCCCGAAACAGTGGGGTTACTGCTGCTTGGGTCCCAAATGGGACTAGGGCCCGGCACCCCCGTGGGCTCAGAGACAGGAGCTTCAAGGGCTTATATCACTTCAAGGCAGAGCTCTGCTAGCAGTCACTTTTCCTTCCTGTCCCCTGCTAGGCCGAGCTGCTGCTGGGTCTCCATGTGGGTAAAAACCGCAGCCCCCAGGCAGCGAGCCGTGTTGGCGGAGACCAAAAGTGACTGGCTGGAGAGGTTCATTGGTGGGGAGAGGAGCCTATGGGATCCAGGCACCTTCGCCCCCTGTACGGCAGTGCCCAGGGCCGTCTCAGGTCTGGGTGCCCTTCAGCCTGGCTCTGAGAGCGCCAAGCCACTCCATGCACGGTCCACGCCCCGCTCCTCGGACCGCCTCTCCCGCTGAGAGGCACAAGCGTCAGGCCACGGAGCAGGGAAGGGGTATCCCGCGCGGCGGGGTCCCTGCGCCTGGGATGTTCGGTTCCGGGCACACTAAGCCGCCCAACCCGGGTCCTGGACTCAGCCCAGTGCCTTTGCCCAGGCCCTGGCACCATCTCTGCCGCAGCCCCTGGTGTTGAAAGGAGATTCCCCATTTTAACCTCGGCCCTGGCTCGTAAAGCCCAGTCTGCCACCAGACCTCCGAGCCTCCGCCTCGGGCTAATGCATTTGCTGCTGGGCCCTGTTCATCCAGGGCCTGCGGCCCGGTTCCTCATACGGCTTGTGTGTCACTGGTTGGCAGCGGTGGGAGCCCCACTGAACGGGGGAGGGAGTCGGCTGAGCCCGGGATCCCGGCTCTCCTGGAAGGGAGAGTCAGGTTCCCGCCTCCTTGGCCGCTGGGTCCCTCTCTGCAGCGCGCTCCCACCCACGGTTTATCCCACAGCCCAGCTGCTTCCCAGGGCCTTCTGCTTTGCGACTGTTTATTTTTATCCGTGAGCCTTTTTCCAGGCCTCATGGGGAATTTCCATCCCGGCTGGGCCTGCCCCACCAGCCGGCTCCAGGGCCTTGTCCCTGGGCTCCCTCCCTGTTTAGCGGGCGATTCCTGGGGATGGCAGTGTTGGGGGCGAGCCAGGGCTGAGGGCCGGAAGGACCTGCTCTGTCCTGCTGTGTCCCACCACCCTCCGGGCCCGGATCCAGCCCTGGCCAGGAGCTGGGGGAAGGACCTTGAGGGGGCTGGGACACGCCACGGGGAGACCAGCCCGTCCCCTTTTATGGCCAGGGGCGGTTAGTGCTGAGGGAAGGGAACCAGAGCGAGGACCAGGGCAGGGGCATCCAGGAACAGGTCTCTCCAAATGGCTCCACCAACGTCCCCCAATCCTGATCCCCAGCCTCCCCCGCAGATATTCCACTCCGGGCCCCCACCCCACTCTGCGGCCGCCCCACGGTGCCCCCACCACCTAGGCCAGGCTGGCGTGGGATGGAGACCAGCCAGGGAAGGCCCCTCTAGATGCCGGAGTGGAGCGAGACCGGCCCTGACGGATCCATCCCAGGCAGGTCTCTGGGGACCTGCTCCATAGCAGCCGCTGGTTTGATCGCCGAGTCTCAGCGTGTCATTAGAAACCAGCACATTGCACAAGAGGCGGGGGGAGGGTTCCCCTGTGGAGCCCCCCCGAAGCTGGCCAGAGCGAAGACTGTCTGAGACAGGCTGCCCCCTTCTGTGCATGTGCGAGGGATGGACAGGGGATGCTCCTTTATACATTTCCTGGGGGTTCTGTTGACTGCCTGCATGCCCCCCTGCCTGTGACCAGGTGCCAGCCTGCAGCACCCCTATTCTCCCCCGATGGTGGGGTCCCCTTTCCCCCACGGGGCCCCGATGCCCACAGTGCTCTCATTTCCTTCCAGCTCCTGGTGCCCTGAATCTTCCCTGGGTCCTGGTCCCTGCAATACCCCCATTCCATGCTGGGGCTCATATCTCGCCCCCTTGGGCCTTGTGCCTGTGGTATCCCTTCCCCTATCTATGCCATCTCGGGGCCGTGTCCTGTTTTCCATATCATCCCACCTCTTAGCTAAGCAAATCGGCCAGCCCAGGGATTTGCATAGGGAGCTGGCTCCGTTGGAGAGACACGCCGGGCCTGCTGGCCCTTCGCACCAGCAACGGGCCTCGCCCCCGGGCCTTGTCCCTGTCAGCGGCTTCACCCGGCTGCAGTGGCTCTGGGACTGGGGCTGCTGCCACACCCTCTGGCTTGAAGCAGTAATAAAAGACACCATCATCGTCACCGCCCCAGCCTGGGTGGGTCTGTTTGCATGACGCCTGTTCGTATGCGCCCCCTCGGGATTTGCATAGCCCTGGGTGCGCCTTTCCTGGCTCGCCCGCAGCCCGTGAACTCTGCTGCTGGGCTTCACTCCCCTCCCTGTTAGCAGGGAGTTGAACCAGAGCAGGAGAACCAGTTTGAACCAGTGTTTCTACTTGAACCAGAACCCAACCAGACCCAGAATTTTGTCCTGCCGGCCGCACGCCCCAGAAAGGTGGGTTACCGGCTAACAGAAAGGACCAGCATTTTTTGAGCTCACTTTTCAAAATGCGGCTGGGATCGTACGCTCGTTAGTAAACGAGCCAACGCAAGAGGCCTGTGAGTGCGGCCAGAAAGGCCTGGCCCAGGCTGATGAGCATGGGCTGAGATGAGAAGGAGGCCCACCCCCAAGAGCAGGGAGGGAGAGGGATGCAGCCGGGGGCCCAGAGCTAGCGGCCCACTTTCTGAGACTCCACCCTGGGGGAAGAAGAGGTGGGATTGTCCCTTAGCAATAACTCTTCAAACGCAGGGGAAAAGGTAACGGTTTGCAAATCCTTCTCCTCCTCCAACAGGTCTCCTTCTGCCCATCCCCAACCCCTGGGGCAGCGTCTCACGCCCATGCCCCAAACTGCAGTGTCTCTTCACCACTGGGGTCCAATACGCCGGTGCAGGTATCAGAAGCTGGTACTTGATTTCGCTCAAAGTGTTAATAAAAAATCGACTGTTTGTTCGACAGGCCAAAAAAACCCTAGGAAAACTCATGTGAAATTAAAATTAACAAATAAATTAGTGGTCAAACAATCAGAAGAGTTTCCGTTTTACGTTTCAACTCTCTTTTTGGAGTTTGCGTCCACTAAGATTGAGATCTGAGCTGAGCCGTTATTGTCTTTTGGTGGCTTGAACTGGAACCGGACCCGAACACTCTGAATGCAACTGAACCTGGGCCTGAACTGAGCTAAAATAAATAGCGAGGGCACCAGGGCGAGCGTGAAGGAGACTGCACCCAGAAGGGAGCAACCAGTGCTGCTGGAGATGGGCAAGACACTAGATCCCCCCCGGGTGACTGTCCTGGACCTATAGGGAATAGGAGCAACTCTCATGGGGCAGCCCTGGCCCAGGGAGGGGCAGCTATGGGGAAGGTGGACTGCGGTTTCAATGGCATTACACTGGATCTTCTGCATTGACAGCGAGAGCAGAATGTGGCCAGACACCTTCACTGTTTGCCCTTGGTTACATCTGTACACTGGCTGTTTCCTCCGGCCCAGGAGCCCACAGAACAGAACCAGGGCAAATCAAACGGGACCCGAACACACCCAAACCTCGGAACCAAAGTCCAGGAGCCAAACAACCACTCAGCCGCTTTGCATTTGTGTTGCTACCTAGCTATTGCCTTGTCTTCTCATTTGGCTGTAAATTTGGCTGCCACAGAGTTAATATAGGCCGGACACCTTCCCCTTCTCTCAGGCGTAGACCCAGTCCCCATGCCGTAGCCCAAATGATCTGCTCTCTGGGTGGCTGTTGGGCAGGTGAAGGTGTTAATGTGGTTTGAAGGATGTCCCTGGTCATATACCTGCAGCCTGGCCCCGCTACCTGTGAGCTCCCAAGCTAAGCCGTCTCGAGTGGCTGGCACTTGGATGGGAGATGCTCCAGGTAAAAATTCATGGGTTTGAAGGCCCGAAGGGACCTTTCTGATAATCTAATATGACCAGGCCAGTGATTCCTGCATCATCCCCATCACTTCTGTTTGGGTTAGAGCATCCAGTCGTGACTTCCAGAGATGAAGGATCCAGGTGAATTGTTCCAATGGGTAATTACCCCGGTACCAATTCCAGTTATAACACAATCCCTGCGTGTCTAGCTTGGGAAGTGCTTGGAGATCTCTCAGGCTGAAAGGAAGCAGAGAGAGAGAGACGCACAGCAGGGTTCTTGCTCCCATTCACAGGGGAAATGAAAAGAGGCCCCCGATTTCATTTCCTGAGCTGATGGCCTTTTGCTTTGGCTGGTGACAAACTGAGTTGACCTGGAAAGCTCAGGCCGTCCCTCGAGTCTCATCTTGCAACCAGAAAGAGGATCTGCAGCCGCACCTCACTTCTGCTTCCCTGCTGGGGGCGCTCCGGGAGAATCTCAGCAGCATGTGAATCAGCAAGGGGGTGAGGAGGGGAGGGCAGTGCCTGGAGACGTCCGGTCTGGCCTCTGCTGGACTCCCGGGGCGGGGAGCGGAATCTTCCTGAAGCATCACTGTCATGGGGCCAGTGACCCGCCACAAGAATCAAGCCCTCACTGGCCCCATGATGGCCCTAGCAACTCTGCCTGGGGTACCGTGGGTGGGGGCTTATTGCCATTTGGTAGTGGGGCATCTGAACCCTATAAGAAGGCTGCAGGATCAGTCCAGATGGGGCTCCCCAGGTAGGGAGAGGGAGAGGGAGAGGAAAGGGCCAGGGAAGGGCCGCGAGCGAGGAGAGGTCATGAAAAGGTAGCTCCCAGGGAGGGAGTGGGTAATTTGAAAGCACCCAAAAAGGAGAGAACTAAAAGGCTTGTTCCTAGGGAAGGTGCAGGGGAATGGAGAGACCGCTCCGGAGGAGGGACTGCTAACCTCGGTTTGGATGGGGAGGAATGGGTGGGCCCAGAAGGTCAGGGGCTCATGACTGCTTTTGAGAAGAGAAGAATGAACTGGAGATTAAGACTGTTTCCGGAAGCTGGGCTGACCTGTGTCAGTTTTCATTCCCGAGGCGTTGCTGACAAGGCCAAGAGCTTGTGTTGGACTGGTTTCCACTGGGCAGAAGGGAAATGGCTTCCCGTGAACAGCCGTGAGCCGCTCCAACTTCCAGGCCGACTGGCAAGAAGGAGGGCAGAGACCCCGACCTGGTGGCACGTCCTATCATTAGATTTCACAAACCCACTCATAAGTGTGAAATGTTAAACCGCTTTACCAGTCTCACGATGGAGTCACAGACAGCCACGCTGGGCACTCCAGTCTATCTAGCCACCCAGGCAAGCTGGACTGAGTGATAGCTGGTTGTTATACACCAAAGATCACAAAATATTCAGGTTACACCCAGTCCCAAGAGACCTGTCACTTACCCCAGGTCAGTTTGCACCTTAGATCTCACACCAAAGACAGCACTTGTCGCCAATCCTATAGCAAGCTAAAGAAGGATTTATTAACTACGAAAAGAAATGAGCGAGTTATTCCAAGGTTAAAGCAGGTAAACATAGATACACAAATGAGTCCATGGTTTTAAAAGGTGACTGAGTTGTTGTAATCTGTCAGCTCTGAATGCCTCTTAGGGCTAACCCAGGTAGAGCCTGGGGATCTCTGCGTTTCTTTCGTAGCTCCAGCCCCGTGAGAGAGCAAACAGATGAAACCTGTTTTTCGTTCCTTCTTCCAGAATTCGAGCTGATGGGCCAAGCCCTTTTCCATGTAGCCAATTAACGCAAAGCCCCTTTGAGCTCTGAGAGCCCTTCTTGATGGGCAGGAGATGTTTCCTCCTGACAGAGTCACAGCGAACTTTTTTTACAGTTAGAAAGCAAAAATGTAAATGTTACTTTAGAGCACGTGCTAATGCTATTACAAGTAAGATTAATGCAGGCAGCAGCTCACAAGCATTTCATAACGTCTAAGCACTAAACACATTGTTATAAAGCCACTACCCCTCTTAGCCAGACGAACAGGCAGGTGAAACGGATGATTTTCCTGCAGTGAATCAGTCGGTGTCACACAGGCCCAAACCCTGGGTGCGATCTTGGACAATCACATGCCATGTTTCCGACTCTGGTGATTTTAGCAAGAATCGCACGGTACTGGATGTTTTACTTAAAGACCCAGCATCTGGAGTCATGTGATTAGGGGAGAATCTCCGCTGTCTGTAAAAAAAAAAAAACGGGTCTAGCTCTTCTGGCTGCAGAGCAAAACCTGAGTGTGTGACCTGAGGGCTCAAAAGGCAAAGAAAGGAACTCAACGTGTAGCTCTTCAAATCTCATGATTTGTATGACATGCCGGCGATTTTTTTGGGGCCTGTCTCATGAATTTCTAATGTTTCTGGTTGGTGGCACCATGCATCTCATGACGAGAGCCTCTTCCATCTCCTAAGAGCGCAGGATTTCTAGCCTTCCCCGGAGAGGCACAGACATAGATGGAAATGACTTACCAGGTCCTAGCTCTCCCCTGTGCAGGAGCTGGGACAGGAGTGATCCTGCAATGAGTTCTCCAGTCTAGTTTTAACTGACTCAAGCAATGTACCTTTCACCATGTCTCTAAGCACATGGATCCCTCTCTCTCTCTCTTGCAGCCTGACTGGCTTTTCTGATGCACTCGTCCCTTTGAGATTGGCTGGAAGTGATCCCCTCCAGGGAGCAACCGGAAAAAAACCTAGCCACCAGGTGCTTGCAAGTCACACACCGAGTTGCTTTAAAGTTGACACCTAGCATGACGCCACCTCCCCAGCGTAGCAGTGAGGGGCAGCTTAATGAACGCTTGGAAGGGCCCACCTCTGCAGCAAGCTTGCAAGATGATTAGCTCTGCCCTTCAGCCTCCTTGTGCGTGTGTCCCACAGAAGGGCAGGGAGCTGTATTCCCAAACACCAAGCCAAATCCACCCTGGCGTAATGCCACTCGCTTGGGTGGCATCTAGGCTCTTGGCCTATTCTCTTCGGCAGAGCACAGCACCACCTGGAGGAGACTGGGCCACTTTCGTATTCCCGGCACAACATGGGGAGAGACCTTGCTCGGCTGGGCAAGGTCCAGTTGCACATTCAAAGCCAACCTGAAGCATTTAAAGCCTGTTTTAATAAAATGCCATTCCTGGGTTGATCTCGCCTCTTATGCTGATGCCCATCACCATAATGGCTTAGCATTGAGCCACGAGGCTGGGTTCACGTTCCCTGCTATAGAACCCCTGTCTAAGCTCTTGAGAGCAAGACCCTTAGAAAAGGGATTCGCCTTTTACATGGCATGGGGAAGAGCCAGCTGGAGCGAAACGGGACGCTCAGCTTGGGTTCAAAGCGGCCATGTGTGTTTGGCTAACTCTTGGTGCAGCAGGGGGAAGGGTGCACATGGCAGATTAGCCTCACTTGTGTCTTGTTTAACCTGACCATTTTATATTAAATGTGGGCCAGATGCTGCTCTCAGCCACTGGTGTAAATCTGGAGTCACTCCACTTCAGATTCAAAGCCTGTCACGCTATTTAATAGTGTCCCCCACAGCCTGGCTCACAAAATGCTGAGCAGCTACTAACCCCCAACACACACCGTAATGGTGACAGGGACCAGCTGACTTTGACAGGCCTGAACTGGGGTGCAGGGAACAGTCGGGCCCGTGATATTGTCTGTGTAGATTGTCACTGTGGGAAAGGGCCTGTCTCTCACCGCGTGTGTGTGCAGCGCCCCACGCAGGCGGCTGGGATCTCAGGCACTGCCCTAATGCAATGCCACCAGCACGTGTCAAAGCAAAGGACAATTACAACGTGCTGCAGTTTAAACTGTGTTTCTAGTGGCCTGCCCTGGGGCTTGACATCCCCCCCCAAGCCACTCTTGTGTCCCGTGCTGGGGAGCACAGACCCGCTATCATCCATTCTGACTTGCTCCAGAAATGCGCTGTTTAAATACTTTTGCTGGACGCAGAGTAATTTTGGACTCTCTGTATAAAGATTAATGGTAAAGCGCTCTCTCCCCGACTTGGCTTCAGATCCTGTGTGCCCAGCGCTTCGCACCTGTTAGGATATAGATATTCAGGCCTGTCTGCAAAGGCCTGTACTTTAAGAATTTAGGTGTATTCTTATCACTTGGCTAGTTCTAGAGGTATAAAAGAAAGAATCAAAATCACTGTCTGCCGGTGTAAGGGCCTTCTCTCACTGCGACAGTCTGAGTCCCTGTGCTTAGGCTAAGATCTTTGGCTAAGCAGCAAAGGCAGCCCTAAGCTGGGAAGCGACTGGTCACCTCCTCCCATTCCAAACTAGTCACACTGAAATAAGGTGCTATTGGGCTGCTAGGATACAATCCTGTCCTGATAGTGCCAATCACCTCCAGAGAAAGGGAAGTGCCTAGAAGATGTAAAAGGAAACTTGGATGGATAGCATCCTGTCTGGCAAGAACTCACTTATCAATAGCTGGGATGTGAAATCCTCATTTCTTTGTTGTTCTGTCATTGTAGTCCCCATTTCCCCATTGTTTGTCTGT